CCTCTCCCACTCCCCCTGCTTGTGTTCCTGCTTTCACTATCTCTCTCTGTGTCAAATAAATAAATAAAATCTTAAAAACAAAAAAAGATAAATATAGAAAGGGTAACTGTCTCTCATGTAAGTGTTAGAGTCTCTGTGTTTACAGACTGATAGTCTTCATGTAGCATCTCCCAGGTCCTCTATTTTCAAATTTTTTTTTTCCTAAAAGAAAAAGGAGTTTCAAAAATTCAATGTAAATGAAATTCAATTCAATTTACCTCTTCTTTGGGACACCTTCCGGAGCTTTTTGAAGCCTGCCAATTGTAGCTTCCACACTCTTAAGTTGTCTTCTGCTGGATGGCCTTGTTGTTTGCACATTTACTGTGCTTAATTCAATTTTCATGCTCTTAATAATACCTAACAAGTCTTTTTTTGTATTCTCCTTTACACTTTCTTGGCTCTCTGTTTCTTTGGAAATCTCAGGTGTTGGAGCAGACTGCTCATCTTTCTTGCTATAGATAACATTGTTAGTGCCAAAATATCTTTGGGCATTATTTTTTGTCCTGGAAAGAAGCATTAAAGAAAAAAAAGAAAGAAAATACAATGCAAAATAATAAAACAAGGATTCAAAACACTGCTTCTGTGTGTTTTTAAAATTTTCTAATTCAAACTCTTCCCTTTTGCTTTTTATTATTATTGTCAGTGACCATAACAACAGCAATGTTAACATTTATTGAATATATACTATGTGCTTCGTCTGGTGCAACATCTTTACTACATTTCCACATACCCACAACAACTCCACAAGTATTATCCCCATTCTGCAGATTAGGAAACTAGAAACCAGAGAAGTGAAGTGATTTACCCAAGGTCATGTAGCTCAGGGCTCACTAAGGCCTAAGACACACTGGTGAGTCACAAATGGGTTACAGGTGTGCTAAGACTGACTGATCACCTGGTCCTCGGGGGTAGCTGGGTGAAGTGTGTCGCTGCTGGTGCTCCTATCTGTTGCCTCCCTCCATTTACCTCAAGGCTTGATACAAAGATCATTTTCTATGCGTTCCATAACATTTAAAAAAGGAGACAACTTTCTGATCCACCATCTGCGGTGGAAACGTCACCAAGATGCAGATTTTCATGAAAAACCTTATGGGGAAAGACCACTCTCCAGGATGAACCATCGGATATAACAAACTGTAAAGGCCAAGATCCAGGATAAGGCAGGAATTCCTCCTGATCAGCAGAGACTGATCTTCGCTGGCAAGCAACTGCAAGATGGACCTACTTTGTCTGACACAACATTCAAAAGGAGTCCACTTTTCTCCTTTGGCTGAGACTTCACGGTGGTGCTAAGAAAAGGAAGAAGTCTTACACCACTCCCAAGAAGAATAAGCATAAGAGAAAGAAGGTTAAGTTAGCTGTCCTGAAATACTATAAAGTGGATGAGAATGGCAAAATCAGTCACCTTTGTCAGAAGTGCCCTTCAGATGAATGTGGTGCTGGAGTTTTCATGGCTAGCCACTTTGACAGACATTATTGTGACAAATGTCGTCTGACCTATTGCTTCAACAAAGTGGAAAACAAGTCATTGTATATGGGTTGATAAAAGACATGAACTGGGGCGCCTGGGTGGCTCAGTTGGTTAAGC